GGTCGCTGTGTAGTTCTAGCTTGCGGGTTACCAGAATAGCTTAGGAACGAATATAACGTCCAATTCTCAAGACTTATCGCTTATATCACTCGGTACTTCATCCAGAGATATTAATAACTAGTCTATTTTGAACTAAAATATTAATACAAAATCGTCATTCTATTTTGGTCAGTGTGATGGTTTTCGATCCTTCATGTTAACTGATTTAATATCAATCAAGTTTCCAATATGATCACTAAGCTACGTAGTTCAACTTCCTAGTTCACTTTATGTGATATTAAATGTCACAGGTTGAAATCATGAGTCAATTAAAGCTAGACCACCATGGAAAACCTGAAAGCACTAGACGGCCGTTTCGTCCAGGTTTTCCATGGTGGTCTAGCTTCAATCGACTCATGATTTCAACCTGTGAAATTTCTAAAAAATCTCCACGAGATCCATTCTGATAATATTAAATGATTAAAAGTAACCTATTTCCTTCACATTCTGTTTGTTTTTCTGAAACTTAGAAGATGATTATGTTGAATACATGAGTTTTAACTCCTTCTTAGAAATATAATAATTGACCATTTCCTTGAGAGGTTAATATTCATTCGCAAAAAAACATGACATTGCTAACAAACTACTACCAATCAATCTGATTGTGTTCTTGACCTTCAGTCGCTTATATATCTTATTATTAGAAGTTGGTCTGATAATTCATTTATTGATTAATTAATCATCTTGTATTGATTTTGTAAATCTTTCAATTGACGTTTAGGACTGAGTTGATCAGTCTCCTATTAGCACATATATATTCTGTGTGGATTATCTCTATATTGCTTTAAGTCATAGATATTATAAGGAGAGATGGATAGTGGCTAGCAGTAGAATCGATGACACATGTTTCGTTCTATTTAGGATTCGTTATCTGGATGTACCTTCATTCCAGAGCAGATTTTCACTTTGGGACTCGAACCTAGTATCATTCGTTTCAAACGCTAACGCGTTATCCATATCCAACTAATGAATCTCAGATGAGACGAAACGCAAATCCTGAGTTGCACTGTTAGTTACCATCACTTTCTGTTTATAATGTTTTAAAGATTGTTGTAAACTGCACTCAATAAATCCTATTGATTGTTAGCATACATACCACTATATATTACTCATCCAGCTAACTGATTATTTCATATAAGTAAAAGTGTACAAATTTTAAAACTGAAATCATCCAAAAGAGAACTTTCTTTGCTGAAAGGTTTTTCGATAGTCATAATTAATTTAATATCAGAAGGGGTTTTGTTGATATTATAGTAATTTTAATAGTTGAGATCATGAACCGATTGATGTTAGACCGCCATTGAAAACTTGGAAGCACTGGACGGCCGTTTCGTCTTATTGTGGGACTTCTCAGCAGTGCACATTCACGATCCAGCCTTGCGAGATTCGAACCCAGGAAATATTGGTCTCGCGCGCTCAGGTCAAGACGAACATCCATCGTTTTAGGAAATGAAATGAAATCAGAGGTTGAACTTAATACTTCCAAATAGAGGTTAAGCGTTCGCGCGCGAGACTGAAATCCCTGGGTTCGAATCCCGTGGGCGGGGTCGTGGCTTAGCACTGCTGAGGAGTACCACAATAGGACGAACTGGTCGTCCAGTGCTTTTGAATCTCAGTGGTCTAATGGTTAGGCGCTCGCGCACGAGACTGATAGGTCCTGGGTCCGAGTCGCGCGGGGGGCGGGGTCGTGAATGCACACTGTTAAGTCGTCCCATACTAGGACGAAACGGCCGTCCAGTGCTTCCAGGTTTTCCACGGTGGTCTAGCTTCGGTTTGGGCACCCTGGCAGTATCACAGCCCTCACATATATCAAACGAGATTTGTGTGGCGTATATGTAACTGGTGCCCCCTTGTGCCAGTATTTATGTGTTCAAATCAATAAATAAGTACTCATTTGAAATATAGAACTAAATAACTAACAGAAGTCATTATTCCCTTTAAACATACATTTAAAAGCCCTGTATTACATATTGAAATAGTAGGAATATTACTTTCTGAATATTAAATTCAATTCAGCGCTTTTAATTGACTTACGTTTTAATGAAAGTAAAGAAGATGAAATTCTAAAGACAATGACTTATTTAAACATATGAACATTGATACAAGGAAGCATCAAATAGATATGCGCCATACTTGGAACAATCGACCTAAATGTCTAATCCACAAGGAAGTGGGGCAACATTGGGAGATGCAGTCCCACGGTAGCCGATGACCAACAATAGGTTCATACACCATTTGTTTCTTTCAGGATCCTGGAGCCCACGTACACTATTGGTTTGTCATCAGGTTATCCACCTCCCTTAGGTGGATCTTCCGTATCCATCTTATTGTTAAATTAAACTTACTTAAAGACTATTTATCAATTACAGTAAGTATAATGGTGAGTTATTAATTTTACAGAAATTGTACGAAATAGTGAATATACTGAACTATGTTAACCTTCGATTGTATCATTGAACTTGAAAACTACAGATCATCTTCAAGATATAAAGATTAGCTGAGCTAAACGATAATAACTACTAATTATCATACTACTCAAAAGATTAATTAAAAAGGCTTTAGAGCTTGTAATTTAGAACGGTTGTTTTCAGAGATAAGAACTAATATCTAAAATTCACTTGGTAGAACTGCAATTGATCTATCTCTTATTGGCATATGTGAATACTGTGCATATTGCCTCGATATTGCCTTAAATCGTCCTATTTGAAACTCGTCAGATGGATGTTCCCGCATCTCAGAATTGATGTTCGCTCCGGAACTCGAACCCAGCACCGTTCGCTTCAAACGCCATTGCGTTATGCACTTAGCTACTGAGTCCTGATATCCACTTGGTTGTGCAGTGGGGTGAAGTTTAAATTCACTTGGTGTCATTTTACTTGAATCTCCTGATTGATGTTTAGGTCTGAAACTGATCAGTCTGTTGTTGGCATATGTGCCCTCTTCAACGTCAGTCAATATAATTCAGAATAAAACAAAGTATAAACTTCATTAATAGCTGTTGTCTATAACTAATAGGAAAGTATATCATGTTTTTCAACGTCCTTATGAAAAGAAAATTTACTTCACAAGGTGATAGAGGCATGTGTTTGTGATATAAATCTATCAATGATTGTATAATGTTTACTGGACATTTTATCATATGAAGTGAATTACATCATCATCTAAAATTTTATCACTATTACCAGAACATTGAAGTAAGATGAGTAAGTGACTGTGGGATACTGGAATGAGGGCGAAACTGTAATGTATGAACGAACCAATCAGATTTAAGATAACCGCTCTCGGATTTTGGCGCGAAATTCATTGATCCATTTGGTTAAATACAGTTTTGGCATTAGAGCTGATGTCAGTTCGTGATGAAAACCCTTAATCTAATTCCTAACCTTAATCATCAACTGTAAATCATAATTCTAATTCCTCACACACTGGTTTATAACCTTCATTTGGTTCTGGTTGTTGGATGGACACTATCAAGGTCATTTATGTGCCACTTAAAGGTCGTCCATAAATTATGGTCTCACCACTATATGCTTTTTAATGTAATACACAGTGAACAAGCCCATTATACAATATTAGCTTAACTATTAAAATTCGACCAGATATCTTTAGGTCTTGAATTTGTAAAAGAAGAAAACAGTCGAAGTATATGTAGATTATGATCATTATTATTATTGGTTTTATTCAATGTTATATTTTGGGTATTTCAACAAGCTTCCTATTTCTTATTTCTTGATCAATCCTGATGATGATCGCCAATTAGAAGTTAGTAGTTCAAGAATTGACATCTGAATAATAAGATACATTCTTCTCGATGTATATTGTGAGCAACGTGGATCATAACGGATCACAAAACAATCAGATCGATCATATTTGTATCACTAAAACATTCACAAGGTCAATGAAAGAAGTGTGAACCAGAAGAAGAGCTGCCATAACTTCAAATCACCATCTGGTAGTTACCAAGATGAAATTGAGGTTAAAGAAACACTAGATAACTGAAGAAGCAGCATTAAAAAGGTTTAATACAATCTTCCTTTAAACTGTTGATAAACTTGATGAATTCAAGTTATGTCTCAACATCTAAATAATAAGGTATATTCTTATCAATGTATATATATTGCCAACCACCACAATATCTCTAAAGGTGCTCTTTTCTAACTTGTACAATAAAAGATCATGTAATCAATGAACATAATGATCTATTGAAATAAACAAGGAAACAGATCATTCATTGAAATATCTAGATAGTAGGAATAAATAGTCTAGATATTCAAGTAAACCTTCATTAATGAATGATATTGTGTAAAGAAGAACATCAAGGTCTAGTTAACACGCATATACAGCCTCTGCCAGGGAAGTCCTACTCACTACCTTCTCGTGGCGGGGGTGTTGTTTACGAAAATGAGAGGACGAAAAGCGAATGTCCGGTGCTTTAACCGGATCCCAAACCAATGGTACACATGGGCTCCAGTATCCTGAGGGAACAAATGGCGTATGAACCAATTGTTGGTCACCTGCAACCATGGGAATGCATCTCGTCACAATGCTCCACTGCCTTGTGGATCAGAACTTTAGGTCAAAGGCTCGTGGTATGGCCCCCTACGAAAACCACCTGTTTCGGTCTGGGCACCCGGGCAGTATCACAGCCCACACGCACAAATATGGTGTGACGCATATATATTTGGTGCCCTCTTGTGTGTTGAAATAAATAAATAAACACAAAATATATACAAATCATTGTATGATTAAAAATCAACTACACCTTATTACAATAACTTAAACAATATTGAAATAATTGATAGCAGTAGTTATTTAAGGTTAACTCAATAAAGGAATATATTTGCTATACACATATACCTATTACAGAACTATAGAAGATATATATGTATATATATAAGAATAGCTTACTTAAATACTTAAACGTGTCCTTAGGATGAGATCTAAATGAATTTGTGTGTATATCTATATCTATGTAGGGGTGTAAGTGTCATTATCCTGTGTGCTACTGCAATTTTAAATTTATGGTGATGCTTATGATCATCAATATTGGATCCGTTTTGATTCGTTATTTTTAATATTTTCTCTATTAATACTACTTTATAAGTAAAAATTAACACTAAACAAGCAAAACAAAAACAAAAAAATTGATGATAGATAAACGTAATCATCATAAGCACAATTGTATAATGACTTACTCAAATGGTTGTATCTAACTGGCGTGTCTGTATTCTTATAGGTATATATATATAAATTCATATATATGCATATGGCATATAATGCTTCTGTGCATGAGTACTTGAAAGGATACGATTTATATTTACTGACTTATACTACTTATTTCAATTACTATATTGTCCATTACAAATACTACTATTCTTATTCTTATTATTATAAATGACGGACTAACACTATAGAGAAATCCGGTATAGTAACCATTTTCCATTTTACCTAACGTAATCTCTCTCTTTCTCTCTCGATATATATACATATATGCATATACATATGATTGATTTTGTGTAATCCATTCATTCATTCATTCATTGGAAATCCTTATTTAGTGCTTCAAATTAATAAATACTACTCACAAGTATTTAAGTATCCATGTATAATGTCATAATCATCTAGTAAAACAATTGAATGGATAATTCAAGAAATCTTTTATGTGAATTATTCTATAAACATTTAAATGATCCAAATAAACATTCATTATGTAATAAATTTATGATTGATGAATTAATTACAACAGGAAAATTATTAACACAATTACATACAGAATATAATCAAATACAACAAGTGACAAGTAAGATGATTTGTGAATCATTTTAAATGTATTTTTTGAAATAGAATGCACCTGGGACTATCTTCCTCATGGAGGAGCATAAACTGCCTACTAGTACTGTTCATCCAATTCTATCCTATGCAATCCTTTCTAGTTTTTCCCAGTTGCTATCCATGTTTATCATGCCTGTCATCAAACGTCGTGAAAGAATATAAACCGCCTACCAGTACTCTTCATCTAACTGTGTCGTAGGAAATCTTTTCTAGTTGCTATTCATTGTTATCATGTCTGCTTACGATTCTCTACGTAGTGTGTTCTTCAGCTGTCCTTTTTTCTGTTTTCCTTCAGAATTCCATGTTAGAGCTTGCTTCTTGATGTAGATTATCATAATCTCAGAGTGTAGATAAATAAGAAATATCAACTTATGGTTAAAAGTTGTTCTATCACTCAAATTAGTTTTATAATATTACACTGTTATTTAATGATACCAATTATAATCACTTATCTAGTATTATCTATTTCTATATAAGTTGATTTTAGGAATGTTTAAAAGTTCTGGAACACAATTTCACTTGAAAGACCAGAATTATACAAACAGTAATAACTGTCAAATTGTACGACTAGTTTATGATTGAGATCATGAATCGATTAATGTTAGACCGCTGGATCTCACACTCGAGACAGAAAGCCCTGAATTCGAATCTCGCTAGGCGGAATTGTGGATGCACACTGTTGAAGAGTCCCACAGTCAGACGAAATGAACACCCAATGCTTCTAAGTTTTCAATAATGGTCTAACATCAATCAGTTCATGATCTCAATCAAAAATATTTAATAATCTCCCCAACCCTAAAGTTGAACTTCAATTTCACAGTTATATAATATACCCTTGTGGGCCAGGGTAAGTTTACATTGGTTCTCAGGAGAATCAGACACCATCCGGACTTTCACGTTACAACCCAAATGGGTACAGCTCAACCCCGTTTAGCAAGGGAACCAGACACCATATAGGCTTTAACGCTACAATCTGAATAGTACAGCTCAATCCTGTAACGCAACCACACAGGTACCACGCACCCTGGCGCACCATATAAAAGTTCTGGAACACAATTTCACTTGAAAGACCAGAATTATACAAACAGTAATAACTGTCAAATTGTACGACTAATTTATGATTGAGATCATGAATTGATTAATGTTAGTTCGCTGGATCTCATACACGAGACTGAACACCTTGGGTTTGAGTTCCACGAGCAGGATCTTGAAAACTCCCACAATCAAACGAAATGGCTATGCAATGCTTCCATGTTTTCAATTATAGTCTAACATCAATCAATTGATGATCTTAATCAAAAATATTCAATCATCTCCTCAACCCTATACTGATGATATACAACTAGTATCATTTTCTCTTTTTTCTTTTTCCCTCTTTTGTTGTTGTTGTTGTTTAGTGTTCAATTATTTGTATCAATCACTATTATCAATCAATTTTATGGATTTCAATGATCATCAAATGAATTCAGATCTATTAAATAAATTTTTCAATGATTTACAAATGATTCAATCATCATTTCATTGTTACAATGATAAATCATGTATTCAATTATTATTATTATATTATATTCATATCATTCAATTATATCAAGATCATATAAATAATAATAATAATAATAATATACATAAACATAATGATGATCATTATAATTTAGAACAAGCTGAAGATTTACGTGTTATTGTGAACAAAAATCATGATATATCATCAATTGATTTATTAGGATTATCATTATCTTTGCCATCGTCATCATCATCATCATCATCATCATCATCATCGTCGACGTCGACGTCGTCGTTGTCATCGTCATCTTCACCGCTATCATCATTGCCAATAATATCTTCTTCAAAACTGGATAATGATGGTGATGATAATCATGATAATAATAATTCAATTCATTTCACATCAATACCATCATTCATATCATCTGATAATTATACAATGAATTATTCTATTCAACAACAACAACAACAACCGCAACAACAACAACAACAGCAACTACAGCAACAATTGAGAAATACTCCATTCACTTCAATTCCTATTCCTATAATGAATGAATTATCATCATATATGACAAATTCACAACATACATTCATAAATGGTAATAATAATAATAATATACATCTATTATGTAATAATCAAGATGTTCATTATTCAATGAATAATCAATTGAATAATAGTAATGAATTCAATGAAAATCGAATTGAGAAATTGAATTGTTCAAATATTCAACAATTAAAAAGTTATACAAAAAAATCTTTGATTAATATGATGCGAAATAAAATTGGATCCAATAAATGTATTCGATCATCTAGACGATCATCTACAGGTAGAACTGAATTGTTGATAAGTGTAATTATTTAATAATAATAATAAGAAGAGTAACCTGGAATCAGTGGACGTCCTATTGTGGAACTCCTCAGTAGTGCACATCCACGATTTTACCTAACGAAATTGGAATACAGGATCTATTGATATCTCCTGAAGTTTTACTGACAAGACATGATCAGTGGAGTTCAACCAGGTCTGTTATGAGATAATAATGCACTAAAGACAATGGTGGACGATGGTACAATACCGTGGATTGATTGAAGTTAGACATTAACACCATTGAATGTCGGCTGAGTAGTTTAGACGTTAAGTGTTCACGCACGAGACTGAAGGTTTTGGGTTTGAGTTAAGCGAGGCGAGACCGTGAATGTGCACTGCTGAGGAGTCCTACAATAAGACGAAACGAAGATCCAGTGCTTCTAGCTTTCTCATGGTGATCTAACTCCAATTGAATCATGATCTCAACTATTAAAATTACTATAATATCCACAAAACCCCCTTCTGATAATAATTTGATTATTTATTAAACTCTTTTGCCAAATAACGGTTAACTCTAAGTTGTTGCCACATATCTTATCATAATCAGAGTTATCGTCTCTACTCTAAGAACTATTACCAGAGACTATCAGACTTCCTATAACTGAATATAAGTTGAATACTTTAACGAAGTTAAAATGGATGATCGAATTTGTATTTTGGGTTATATGAACATACAGGATTATTGATAATCGTAGAGGGGTTTTTGTGGATATTATAGTAATTTTAATAGTTGAGATCATGAGTCAGTTGAAACTAGACCAGCACGGAAAAATTGGCCATTTCGTCCTACTGTGAGATTCCTCAACAGAGTACATTCGTGATCCCACCTCGTGAGATTCCAACACAGGACTTATCAGTCTCGCACTCAAACGCTTAACATCTAGACCACTTTTATGGCTAGCATCCAACGGTTTTAATGTCTAACTTCAACCAATCCACAAATTTGAGCCACCATTCACCATTGTCTTCAATGAGTTACTATCTCACAAAAGACCCGGTTGAACTCGACTAGTCACAGGTGCTCACTAGAACTCCATGAAATACCTCTTGAAGTTAATCATTAGTGAGCATATGATTATTATAATCAGAGAGGGGTTTTGTGGATATTATAGTAATTTTAATCGTTAAGATCATGAGTCAATTAAGGTAGACCACCATAGATAACCTGGAAGTACTGGACGGCTGTTTCATTCTAGTATTTTTAATGTATAAATACTTAGATTTAATTTAGTCTACTTTATCTTCAAAAGACTTGGCGTAATGAAGTATAAAATGATAAATAAAAAGACTAACAACATGTTTCAACCTGTTTAACAGATACAACTTAATTGTCATAATAACTAACTAGTTTGTTTATAATGATTTTAAATAACTGGCTTCATTACATCATCAAAGTTTAGATGAAATACTGATTTCGTAATTCTTAGAATTTCAGCCAGTCAGTCAGCTACAACGTAGGAGCAGTAACATATATGTATCAATCCAAATTGTCATACCTCATTAACACAACGAGATGGACACCGGATTCACAAAAGTAGTTAATTCACTTGTAGTAATATATAAAAGAAAGATTCCAATAAGGATATAGTACAGGAAGAATGAATTAGTTCATAGAAAGAAAGATATGAAGCGATTTAATCTCTTAGTTTAAGCGAAGACAGAGAGTGTATAGACCGACGCCATTGTGATCGATTCTGAGCCATGTCACACTCAGTCCCCAACCATTGGTTACGATAGTCACGCGGACCCCAACCAAGTAGTCTGCATCTCCCAACATGGTTCAGACTAGAAGTTAGTGACTTCAAGCACTGATGCCACGTTTTGGTTTGGCCGCCCCTAACTTTCTTCCAACCATCCCGAACACCGGTTAGCATTGCACGTCGTGGTAATCGGTGTTCGGGCATACGTAACACGTGACCCAACCATCTTAGAATTTGTACATGATGTATTTGAATGACTAAGAAGGGTTAGAAATCGTATAATGTTGATCTGTAATATACTTACCTCCGTGAAGTTAAATAATGATCTTGTGGTTTATTGAATGATTCATTGCTATTGGATCATGAGATCCACATATTTTTTTACCTTAATTGTTCAATAATGAGACTTCACTTAAAACCGAGTGTTATTTTTCGGTACCCACTGAGATCCATTGGTTCAGGTGAGTCGATACATATAGTAAATTAACTTCTTTAACATTGTGGTATGAAACTTATATTGTGAGATGATAGTGTGTACTTTAGGATTCATACTAGTTATCATTCACTTGTAAAAGAGTTCTTCTGATGTTTAGCACTGCTTTATTCAATATGAATAATACTATCAACTGATAGGGAATCCAATCCAGGTCTATAATGCATCTATCACTAACTGTGAATAAATAATTATGGACATAAATTTGTATGATACTCAATAACACGTATTTAAATATTAGAGGAAGAATGGGTTTATTTGTGATATTTAGATGGAAGTTTTTTTTACCAGTCCAGTACTATGATGGCCACATTGTAACTTAGTCGATAGGATTCGATCTGCACTAAGAACGACCTGATATACATGACATTGATCCTCAACCAGTGATCAATCAATTATGAACACATGTAAGTCCTACAGAAGGTCAGTCGCTGCCCGGATAGCTGAGTGGTAACGTTTCTGACTATGAAGCTGGGTGACACAGCATTGAATCTGTCAGGGAACATCAGTTCCCTCAAGTACACCTCGCTGACGAGCACTCATTAGCACTTAACCTAGATTCAGGGTTTCCTGTCAACTACTTCCAACCCCCACATTATCTAAAGATGGTGCACGTAATGTCGAGTCACTTAGACCTGTGGCGACATTGCAGCTTGGTCAGTAGGATTCAATCTACACTAAGAAGGACCCAATATACATGACATTGGTCATCAACTAGTGATCAACCAATTATAATTTTATATCACCTTTCGGTCTCATAAGCTATTACATTTATTCTTGTTGTAATGAATTAACTTGACTGTTTGAAAATAGTAAAAACAGAATAATTAAAAGTTAGAAAACACTTGATAAAACATTCGGAAAAAGTTTTCTATCGGTTAAATAGTCTCCACTTGATCAGTAGATATTATAGCGATTTTAATAGTTGAGATCATGAGTAAATTGAAGCTAGACAACCATAGAGAACCTGGAAACACTGAATGGCCGTTTCGTCCTATTGTGGGACTTCTCAGTAGTGCGCATCCACGATCCCGCATTGCGAGATTCGAACCCAGAACCTATTGGTCTTGCGCGCGAACGCTTAACCTCTAGACCATTGAGCTGGTATCCATTGTCAAGATTAAGTTTTCAATACCATGAAAAGTATTTGGAGATTCATTTGGAGATCAACGGTGAAGTTGACTGTTTTGATTTCCTGGTTTACCTCTCTTTAAATACGTCATTATCAGCAGTTTTCTTTTGTACTGATATTTTATTTTCCTTATGTTTGATTCTGAAGTTTGTTAATTTGGCAAGTATACACTTTATTGTTTCAAACAAACTTATCTTTATATTTGTATATTAAACAGGAGGATAATACTTTAACTGCTCAATGCGCGAAAAATAAATTAATAACACTCTTGTTAGAGTAAAGATGGGAGTAGTAACAGAATGTTTGAAACATTAGACATTGATTCTAGTGAATCAAGTCGACATCGATTCGAACCCAGGACTTCTCGGTCTCGCGCGTAAACACTTAACCTCTAGACCACTGAGCTGGTATCCAAGGGTATTAATGTCTAACTTCAATCAATCCACGATGTTGCGCCACAGTAGGTATGAGTATCAAACTTGAGTCATTTCAGAAATGAGACATTTACTAAGGGTCTTGATGCGGAGCTTGAATGTCAACCAAACTATAATTATCTTGGCATCATTGATATTATATTATCGAAACAAATAAATAACCAACACAAGTGTTTCATAATGATTATGTTTGATATTAGATTGACTACCGGATATCCTAGTTACTGAATTAACCAGTACTTTGATGCACAATTATGTTAGAATTAAGTTTAACCAAATGAAGTACACAATATGTTTATTTATCAAACTGTTGATAAAAATCCCAGTGAATTACTAAGAGGTCTTCTTCTCGATTGTATACTGTCTACAATAGCTTAAAACCAACTAATTAAGTTACATATACATTCGCTAAGGTATCGAACCCGAGTTTTTTACTCAGTTTATCCTTTATCCTTGATTCATTTAACTTTAAACCATCAGGCTAAACTAGGCATTTTGAAGATAATGAATGACAAAGGGATTGTACTGACCCATAAATATGATCACATCAACCAATAATAATATATTCAACGATTGAATTCATGAGTCTATTGAAGCTAGACAACTATGGAAAACCTGGAAGCACTAGACGGCCGTTTCATCCTAGTATGGAACTCTTCAGCAGTGCTCATCCATGTACCCTCCCCCCGTGGGATTCTAACCCAGGATCTATCAGTCCTGATGGTCTAGCTTCAATTGGCTCATGAATTCAATTATTCAATTAGTACAATCTCCACAAAACTCTCTGATTATAATATATTTAACTTCAGAAACCATGTGTTCTACTGTAATTAAAAAAAAAGCTCTCCAAACAGAAACACCGGCAATCAGATATTTCAGTTTCAACTGAAAGCTACTGTGTTAAAACTATTATGGTTTCTTCGGATATCGAAATCAATCGAAGCTTAATTTGGCAAAAGACTTCAAAAACTCAAGAAATAGTAACTAATAACCATACTATGAAACAGCTCTATTGCTTTCATTCACTGTATTGAATTAACTGACGTACTGGTCATGATTGAACATCATTGATATAGATCATCTGTTATTGCTTATGAAATATTGTTGTTAACTCCTTTCAAAATATTATCTTACTTATATCAATGATCTTATACCTTAAATCTATCTAGATATGCTAATTATTTATTTTATATCTTTCATTGAAAGTTATTCGGTTCTTGAATGATAGTAGTGTAACAGTCAGTCAGTGATCTTGATTACTGTTAGAGGTATGAGGGCGGTTATCACTTCCCGGTTGCCCACAACGTGGAAGGGTTCTTCTGGAGGTGCCTGAAAAAGAAAGTGGACTAGGGTTAGTCTTAGTGACCTGAGAGCGTGACCGCGATGCCTAAGGGACAACTGTTTGAGGTCGGTCACTCACGACCTTTTTGTAGGTAATTTTCGTGTTAGCTCTGTACTCGCTGAGACCTTACCGCCAGAGACGGATATCTGTGGGATGAGGTGAGGTGTGCATTTTTAGAGTCGACACTTTCTAACCCCACCCCTCCTTGTGGGAATGCAGCATCACTGTCATGCTGGTTTTCTGAAGAAAACACCTTACTGCTGTCACATCTCTGTACAGTCAGCAGTACGACTTCTTTGGAGATTGGGTTTGGTGTTTTTAGTCTTACCGTTGTTCCCCCCATCTGTCTGGTATGGTAGGACTTTGAGGAATAATTGTCCCAGCCAGTATAGCCCGATTGGTTCATCACAATAGGCAAGCCCGACCACCAAGTCAAGATAGTAACAACGATCGGGAGTAGTGTAACAATATTTTATTGTTATTAACCAACCATCAATAAATAGAAAATCTGAAACTATGATTAAACTATGATTTTAGGTTAACACGGATAATTTCAATGTAAGTATATGCCTCCTTGCCTCCTCGTTTCCAAAAAGAAGCGAAAATAATGTAAACCATTATCTGGCAATCATAATTTCTAAATGGACAAAATGTACTCAAAGTGTATAACTGTCAGTTATCAGTTAACTCTCTATGCTCAAAAATATCATTGAAAGTCAGAAAAACATTCAATCATTATAGATTCTAGAAAGTCAGAAATATCGTTACCTTCCACATAGCCAGTATAAGCATGTGTACAGTATATGAATATATTTCTTCTTTTTGCCATCTTCAGATTATAAATCCCCGTCGGTACCAGATCAATATCAAACAAATCTGAGCCAAGATAATAATAACAACTCAGATATGCTTATGTCTCCAGATTCTCCTCCCACGAGTTCCTCATTATTGTCGTCATGTTTCTCCTTCTCACCATCATTATCATCATCCTCAGCTTCTTCATCATCATCATCATCATCATCGTCTACAAATTCATCTCCTAAAAGCTATTTACCAATACATGATAAGTTACTCAATCTAAAATCTCGTTCCTTCTCTTTGAAACGATCTCCTTTTAAATTATCACAATTTTTATATTATCTACTTAATAAATCAGAATATAATCCACATTTGATTTGTTGGGTAGATAAATCACAAAATATGTTTAAATTAGTGAATAGTGCAGCAGTTGCACATTTATGGGGTTTACATAAGCATAAACCAAATATGAATTATGAAACAATGGGTAGAGCTCTTAGGTAAGTACTATGGTACACTTTCAATGTAGTAATATATTTCATTATATTCAACTATATTTTTGTTTGTTTGTTAAGAGATTTAATGAAAAACTGATCGATGTTAGACCACTATTGAAAACCTGAAAGTACTGGATGGTCGTTTTCGTCTTAGTATGGAACTCGTTAATAGTGTGCATCCATAACCTCACACGCGGGATTCGAACCCAGGACCTTATGTCTTGCGCGCAAACACTTGAGTTTTAGGCCACTGAGCCGATATCTAGCGGTGTTAATGTCTAACTTCAACAAGTTCATGAAAATGCGCGACCATCTTCCATCGTCAGGGGTAAATACGTATCTCTACTTGACACGGATTAGTTCCGCTAGTCACAGCTTCTTACTGGAACTCCCTCACGAAGCTAGTCACTAGTGATCACATGGTAATTATCAGTATCGGGTTGTAGAGATTGTTAAGTTTCTGATTAAAATCATAAATCGGCCAATGTTCTAGTGGGAGACTGTGACTAGTGCAGATAATCCGTATCAATTAGAGACAGGTATTTATCTCTGATAATAAAAGATGGTTGCGCATTTTCATGAACTGATTGAAGTTAGACATTTACACCGTTCTCGTGCAAGACCAAATGTACTGGGTTCGAATCCCGTGTGTGAGATCGTGGATTTGCACTGCTAAGGAGTCCTATACTTGTACGAGACGACCATCTAGTGATTCCAGGTTTTCAATGATGGTCTAGCTTAGATCGATTTATGAATTCAACTATTGAAATTACTAAAATCTCCACAACCTCTTACTGATAATGAAAAATCACCCGGTTGACAGTTAGATGATACCATATAAATGTATACAATCCAAATGGTTTACTACGAACTGAGAAAATTCGTTCGTCTAAACACAATCATATAAACGAACTAGATTGTCAATTATTTAAGAGCTTATGAAAAAGAAATGAAGTTCCTCAAAAGCTAACAGGAATCTAAAGAACTTAAAAAGGTTTCATATTATCAAGGTAGACAGTTATCAAAAGAATATACATATAATGGTATTCAATTTCTAGACACAAAATTATCTTCAGAGATGTTTATCACCTTCTTGTAAGTAGAGTACAGAATGATTATTTCACTATATTTATACATAAATAACATGACCAGATGAATTATCTATCTCAGGTTACGTAAAGGTTAATCCGAATTGATTGATCACTGGGTGGTGATCAATGTCATGTGTATCAATTCCTTCTTAGTGCAGATCGAATGCTATTGACCAAGTCTCTGACTGTGAAGCTAGGTGACACGGAGTCGAATCCTTCAGTGAGCACCAGTTCCCTCAAGAATACAGGTACACCTTGCTGACGAGTGCCAAGTAGCACGAAACCCGGGTTCAGGGTTTCCTGTTGACTACCACCAACCACCATATAAGGTTAATCCTTCACTATCTAATATCATTTATAAAAACATGTTATTATCCCGAAACTTTGAGTTACTTTTTCGTATTCTATCATACTCTTCAAAATAAAATTTACATTGTGTTAACTCCCTTTTTTAATCTACCAATAAACTTTAACGATACGTTTGCATAGAATACCATACTAGTTTCTTTGAAATGAACAATTCATAAACTTAATGGATTTCTATTCATTCATAACAAGTTTTACACCAGAACTGATATCTGAGAATCTTAACTTGGAGAAAATTTGATCTTTGTCAGGTTTCATTAAAGTCTGAAGTTTAAGTTCATGGCTTATAATGAACTAATTAAAATATTATATGCAAAGATGGATAGTGGGTAGCAGTGTAATCTAGGACTAAGCACTCGTCAGCTGACGAGTCCCAAATAGGACGAAAGGTGCGTCCTGGATTCCAATTCGCTAGCCACTATCCATCATTGCTTAGATTGCTTGTGAATTAAGGGTATATCGAGGCAATCTGCACAGGTTGAACACATGCCAATAAGAGACTGATCAGTCGTAGTCCTAAACACCGATGGGAAGATTCAAACGAACAATACCAAGTGAATTTAATTAATTAATGTGCTATATTCGGAATAATAAATAACTATCAATTGATTACATTTTATTTATTCATTTAAACACACAAACATTGGTACAAGGAAGCACCAAATACATATGCGTTAAAAAAGTCACTTGATATGTGTGTGACGATGATACTGTCCTAGTGCCCAGAATGTACCAGGCGGTTTTCTTAGGGGGGCACACCCGGAGCTTTTGACGTAAAGGTCTAATCCACAAGACAATGAAGCAACGTTAGGACATACAGTCCCATGGTAACCGGTGATCAACGATTGGCTCATACGCCATTTGTTCCTTCAAGATACTGGAGCCCATGTACACTATTGGTTTGGAATGAGGGTTTTCCGACTCTCCTAGGTGAACTCTTCATATCCACCGACCAGGTAAAAGTGCCAGACATTCGCTCTTCGTTCTCTCAATTTCGTAAACAACAGTAATGTTACGAGAAGACAGTGAGTAAGACTTCTCTGTCAGTAGTTGTGTGCAAGTGGTCACTTGAGAGCATTTGGATACGGAGAGGTGACTCTCCCAGCCCTCGACCGTACCAGGGCATTTGGGGACATATATTGAGTACAAATAAAGACCAACGCGAAACTTAACCTTATATTTACTGTTTTGTTTTTCTGTTATTATAATATTTCATCTAGGTATTATTATGCACAGAATATTTTACGAAAAGTCAAAGGACAACGTTTAGTTTATCAGTTCTTAGAGGATTTTCATAAAACTAAATATCCTATTACTACTACTACTACAATATCTTTTACATCATCATTCATGACAACCACAATTACAACAACAACTACATCAATAACAAAAACTATACCAACACCTATAACAATCACAAACAGAACCATAGTAACAGAATTTCCAGAGAACAATTCAAAACCCAATATAATTACACTTCATTAATGTTCTATATTCCGGTTTTATAACTTTATCATATGTATTTCCAAAAAAAGAAAATTGTTTCTAATCAAAACTTTAGGCATTTTATTTAATAACTACTACTGCTACTACTACTACTACTAATCATCATCATACTACTACTACTAACCATATTACTACTACCGCTACTAATCATACTACTACTACTACTAATCACACTACTACTACTACCACTACTATTAGTCATACTACTACTACGACTACTACGACTACTACTACTACTACTACTACTACTACTACTACTACTACTACTACTACTACTACTACTACTACTAATCATCATCATACTACTACTACTAACCATATTACTACTACCGCTACTAATCATACTACTACTACTAATCACACTACTACTACTACCACTACTATTAGTCATACTACTACTACGACTACTACGACTACTACTACTACTACTACTACTACTAATCATACTACTAACTGAAACTATGAATGAAAATAACAATCATAATATCAAAGGTAAAACTATAATTTGTACTGAATGGTCAATTGATCATTAATATGTTTATGCTAATATTTCTACCCATTCAATTCCTTTTTTTTATTGTAAAGTTGCTTCTAAATTACATGACAAATACATTGAAAAATAAACGACATTAAATATGTGAATCCATTTCTAAAGTAAATTTATTTAGATTATTAAGTAATATCTTTTGATATCCATTAGAACAGGGTTCCATATTCTGGGTACAAGAATAAAAGCATAAGTGTGATTATAATACGAACACTTCACTTCTACTTGAAATTAATGCTGATGATGATGTCGTTCAGAAGAACAATGAAAGCTCTACGACCAAACCATCCAGCTCAGAGAACAAGACTCCATCAAAACGTGTAACTATACGTTATAACTTGTGAGTGCTGATTAGAGAGCAGTGACTTATCGATCGGATCAATAACACGTAAAACCGTATGAGCAGTCTATAGTCCTGATTGGTCCTACTTCCCTGTCTAGCCCAGCCAGTTGAGTCCAGAACACAAGTCTCAGCCTCTGAAATATGAATCATTATATTTCAAACATACTGTGCTTATATACCAATCAAACAGATCAAATCGTGCCATAAAACAGAAAATAACACTTGTACAAGATTTGGCCAACAGGAAAATGACACGTTGAATAAGTACTGACCAATAAGAAAATAATACCATCTTCAAGTCCAAGAATAGCATTAGACTTAATAGAATAATTTTTGGGATATTTTCCTGAATATCCCAACACTATAATTTATGGATGATCTACGAATGATGCCAAAGTGACCATGAGAGTGTCTACCTACTTACTAGGGCTAAATGATGGTGATAAAATAGTTTGAAGAATAAGGATTATGATTCACAGTTGATGATTAAGGTTATGAGTAAGATTTATGATTTTTTTTATCACGAACTGACATCAGCTAAAATGTCAAGATGCTGTTTGATCAAATGAATGAGTGAATTTCGCGCTAAAATCTAAGACCTATTATCCTAAATCTGATTGATTCGTTTATAAATTATAGTTATACCAAAGCATAATTAACATTATTTGTACCTGACTAAGCAATCAGAAGGAAAATATATTAAGATTATTAATAAGCTCTTCCAGAGTTACTGCTGGTCCCAAGCCCGGGTAAAGGAGAAGGGTTGGGCATGGGGTTTGCGTCCCCATCCCGTAGAAAACTAACTCGCTAAAAAAACACTTACCAGAAAATAAGCTAAGATAAATATAAGGGTTTGTAGTGAATAAAAATGTGGTTGGTTAGGGTTTTGGATTGACAAACACACCTTACTGACTAGTTGATTAATAAGTTCCTTTCCAATATTTATTTCTATTCTGAACTTATTGAAAGTAGACTACTTGTAATTGTGTGCATTAAACTATTGTTTAACTATCATATCAGTTTGAATTATTCAAATGCTGATATTTAAAACTGAGTTTTGGTCAATCTTTGCTGGGTTAGCTACGTAAATGAAGAGATATAACTTGATGGTGTTTGGAATAAGTGAAACCCGTTGGACCCAAACTTGACACAAAACATCAGATTCGGTAGAGATGCTTCTGTACTTTGATCACAAAGAAGAAAATACTCCATACACACAAGCAGTTGATATGATGCTGTTCAGAAAAGCACGGAAAGCACTTATTCGATGGGAATATCACGGATTTAGAACTACCTAGGCATCATTCAAAACAAAGAATCAGGGAATCACAATGAACTTTATCCAGTGTTACGCACCCATCAATGATAACAGTGACGACGACAAACATCTGTTTTATAGGAGGTTGCAATCAATCATAACCAAATGCTCAGGAAAACACTTGACAATTCTGAATGGAGACCTAAACGCTAAAGTCGGAATGGACAACACCGGATATGAATATATGGTGAGTCGATATGGACTGACTGGGAAAAAGGAACGATAATGATGAGAGACTTACAAATCTATGTACACTCAACAAAAGTGGTTAGAGATGGCACAATATTCGTCCACAAATACATTAAAAAGCAACATGTGTCTCACCTGATCACACTACAGAGAATCAGATCGATCATAATTGTATCACTAAGAAATTCGGAAGGACAATCATGACACTACGGATCATCGTTGAACAACCAATCGAATGGAACTTGTCGCTATACATCAACTTCCCTGATTATGAGAAAGCATTCGGCAGTGCGCATAGGAGAATTGATATGACGGACTACACTGAAAAGTAGTGAATGGAGGACAACTGACAGACGAATTCAAAGTGAGGACTGGAGTCACACAAGGCTGCCCACTATCCTTCTTTCTATTTCTTCTGATGGTTGACTGGATTATGAAGACCTCCACATTTGAGGAGAAGCATGGAATAAAGTGGGCAGTTTGAATTCAACTAGACGATTCGGACTTTGTAGATGACCTGGCTACTCTATCTTATACACACAAACAAATGCAGATGAAGACAACAAGTGTAACAGCAGGCAACCGCAATAGCCCTTAACATACACAAGGGAAGGACCATGATCCTCAAATACAACACAGGGAATACCAACGCAATCACACTTGATGGAGAAGCTCTGGAAGATGTGGAATCTTTCACTTACCTGAACAGCATCATTGATGAAGAAGAAGGATTCGATGCAGTTGTAAGTGCAAGGATTGGCAAAACAAAAGCAGAATTCCTATAGTTGAACAACATATAGAACTCAAAACAACTGTTTGCAAGTTAACATCAAATTCGAAATCTTCAATACGAACGTCGAGATAGTTCTACTGTACGAAGCTGAAACTTGGACAACTACTACAGTCATCATCCAAAAATGCACAAGTATTTGTAAACAATTGTCTACACAGTATTCTCAGTGTTCGTTGACCGGATATCATCAAGAACAGGTTGTTGTGAGAGAGAACAAACCAGCTTCCAACTGAAAATAGGAAAAGACGTTGTAAGTGGATAGGATATGCACTGAGTAAATCATCAAATTGCATCACGAGGTAAGTACTAACTTGAAATTATGAAGGGAGACATGAAAGAGGAAGACAATATAACACAGGGAGCCGGTAACGGAAGCAGATATGACAAGGTTGAATAGCAACTGGAAAAACCTGAAAAGGATTGCCGATGACAGTGTTGGATGTAGAATGCTAGTGAGTGGTTCATGCTCCTGCGCGAGTGTCATTAGGCGTAAGTAAGTAAGTTTGCTAGGATATATGAATCCTGAACCGATTGTTTCAATATAACTGTTCCATCACAAGTTTTATATTTAATAGGAGGATTTTGGCTAACAGTGGAATTCAACACGTACCGTTCTTCTTATTTTCGACTCATCAGTCACATTAAAAGTGTTAATGTTCACATTATCATTGAAGTATATCTTCCTTTTTGTGTTACCTATTTCATTATAAGAAATTGACTGTAGTTATTACTAATACGGTTTTCTTATCTTCTAGGGAAGTGTCTCAGTTATTGTTATTTAGAAGTATTAAGTTCAATCTCTGATTTCATTTCATTTTCTTAAACGATGGATATCCGTTTCAACCTGAGCTATGAGACTTCAAATCTTGGTTTACATACTAGCAAAATCATTAGTTTAATAAACAAAATAGTTGTTAGTGTTATTTCATGGATTTCTCATATTCTTTTAGTATCCATCTGTTTAAGTATACAATGTGCCATTATACTAAGTAATCTAATAACTTGTGGTAATGTCGAGTTGCAGTTGACTATGATCACCACTACAGATCGATTAGATGCCAAATACTAGGTTAAATCAATCCGTAGTATAAATATTACAAGGACAGTTGTAGTTTGTAGTTAGGATATATTGCTTGATGATCTCGTGGTATCGAAATAATACCGAGATCGTGACAACATTTAAAGGCGAGACTACCATACGTACTTGAGTCATTTCAAGGTCAAAAACAACGGATAAAATGTATTTTCGGTACTAATAATCAAAAAGGTATAGTCAAACAATTACTGGTACAGTTGGTTATAATAATGTTTCCATTACACCAATCGTGTTCTGTTCATAAAAGTAGATATCTACAAAGTAAACATAGGATTTACAAATAACAATCTTCACTTCAGTTAAAGTTGTTGTTTATTTATATTCATTGGTAAACACTATCAGTACCTTAGATATTCAGTAACACCTACTCATGATCAAGTCATACTGTGATGTGTGCTACTTATATTGACATAAGTAGTATATGATGTTAGTCGTGAACAGAAGGTCTGGCAGCAAGGAGACAAGGGGATCGAATAGTAAAGAATGGAAACAGAATGCGATTTGTATGATTATGCAAGAACAATGAAGTCTGAGTCATTTTGAGACAATTGGTGGACATTTTGCAAATTAAGCATTTACTTTATGGTTGTTAGATTTTATTAACAAGTCCTGTAATGTTGTGTTAAATACATTCGATTGTCCCCACTGGTGTTCTTGTTCACTACAATACTATTTAATGATAAGCTATTTAAGTTGAAGTCATATCCACACGGTAAGAGGGATACAAATGATATTATCATATATTCATATATTCTATAACGATATGCTGCTAACCCCAAAATATAACAGTGAATCAAAAGTCTGATAAATTTCCGCAA